AACACTTTTATATGTATTGAGCTCTATAGTCTTTTTTTAAAACACTCTTATGTACTTTTAAACTTATAATGCGTGTCTGAAAGCTTGTGCGTTATTCTTATACACTTCAAAAGCTTCAATTTCCAATGATGTTAATAAAATTTCCATGTAATCTAAATAAACTATAATTAATTTTAAATTTAAATAGAAAATTTTGTCATAAAGAATTCGTGCGATCAAAATCAAAATTTGTTTTGATACCGAATCTGTATTACCAGTCTTTGCGCCCAGTCATATACAGTTCAAATTGCGTCACGTAATTCATCCCCAAAATAATAAAGTCCATTTTAATTTTAACACACCTTAAAGTGTGTATAAAACAACTACAAGACTTCTGTAGATTGTTTATGATAGTTAACATTAAACACGTTCATGTGTGTTTATTTTTAACACACTTCAATTTACAGTGTGGTTACTCCATCATTGCCAATCCCAGAATTTTACAAACGTGTTGAAGTAACACACATTAAGTACGCTCAAGGTGAAATGTCCATAAACAAACGATGTATGAATTTTAAACGTTTTTTACACGTTTCGTAGTGTGTGAAAAATCTGTTGTTGGTTTACGGCATTTAACATTGAAGAGACTTAGCGTGTTAAAAGTGTCTACAAGAATAACACACTTGGATTTGCAGTGCAGGTAGCTATGATTATCATAGGAATGGGTACCAGTGTTTAACTTTTATAAGTTCTTTTCTCTTTACTTCAAAAGAGTCAAAACTTGCCCAGTCCTATTCTCAAAGATCCAAAGGGAAACATTTTTACAGATTATCGTAATCCGTGCATGGAAACATTCAGGTAGACTGTTACCCTCATTTTTAATTTTTACAACAAATAATCATTGCACATTGTCTGAAGCAAATCATGCAAGTTGTAGTTGTGACATCATAAAATGTTTTTACTCTTTCAAAGGGCTGAAAGCTCTAAAATGTTAGATTTTTGAGGAAATTCACTGTACTTATAGCAAACATGAAGTTGAAAAGATTTGTAACAAGAAAGAATTATATTTAAAATTAAAATATAATGCACACAGTGTTTTGAAAATTATTTCAGAATTTCTGTTTTTTTTTAGCTCAATAACTTTAAAATTGTCATCTCTTTTTTTTCTCTGTCACTTGTAAATGTCAAAAGATTAAATCGTCCGAGATTCAATGGCATCCTCTCGTCGACTGCCAACATTGCAAAGCCGGACAAGCTTACAAATCTAATTTACGACAAGGAAGAAGGAAAAAGGTAGGAGGAGGTTAAGTGACGACAGAAAGAAATAGAGATAGTTTAAAAGGAATGTAAAAAGAAAAAATAACAAGTATTAGGGGGCAAAGAAGAAGGGAGAGAGAAAGTAAAGTTAATAAGAAAAAAAGTATAAAAAAAATTTAAAAAAGAAAAAAATTGATCCTCGAGATAAATCAAAGTTGAATAGGGAGATTAAATTCACAGATTATTCCGAGTATATTCTAGTACAAATGTGTCGGATAAACGTTAATTAGTAAGGGGAATTATAAATGGAGACAGTGGATTATTAATTTAAATACTCGTCAGTCTCGAGAAACCTGAATATGAAAATTTTTTCTTGCCATTTTTTTTTCTTCATCAATAAAACTGTCAAGTAACTTACGTCCGTCTTGAAGGGAATATTAAACGCTTGGGTGATGTGTATCGTGTTGAATTGTGCGTATTGTGACCTCTGGGACTTAAGAAAATTGGGGAATTTGATTTGTTGGGATTTTTCAGTAATGTTATTATTATTATTTCTATTAATTTAAGACACGACTTGGCAAAACGAGACTCGTAGTACCAAGAAATATCTCATGGAATTATTTGTACTTCTCGATAATTCACACGAAGCACCATCCACTTGTAAATTTTGATTACTTATGTATAAACTTTTTCACCTGTCCTTTAGAACCTTTACCATCGTCGATGCATTTACCCATTATAAGGATTGATCAGGTGTGAGTATCCATCTAAAAAACCCTCATCGTTTACTCCCTTCATTTTTTCATAAATTTAAATATAGTTATTTTAACAAAAATATACGTGTTAAAATTTCGTAAACAATTGAGAAATTTTTATTATTTTAAAAAATTTTAGCTATATATTTTTCGTCACATCTTCATATCAACTTAGAATTTACTCTCCGTTTAAAAAAGTTTCACTTTTCTCCCTTAATTGTATATTGTGAACCAAGGGAACAAAATAGGACATTTATACCCGGGCGTATTATTGCTGAGCATTCAAGTAAAGATGTACTATTCTGTTTACATTGGTAAACATAAAAATTTTAATCATATTGTTACCGAAATTACCACTTCGTAACAGTTTTGAGGTTAAAAAGGTGATTTTTGACATACCCCCACGTAAACTTCGATTTTACTCCCTGTTCAGAGGCAGTAAAGCAGTTTCTTCCTTGCATAAAATGACAAAATTTGTTTGTGCGCATGCCAACACGCATATTGTCCTTTTCTACAAGGCAGAACGTCTCGCTTTACTAACCTCTGAACTGAGAATAAAATCGAAATTTCCGTGACAATATGACAAAAAGATGTATTCACACAATAGGAATAAACATATAGTACTTCTATCCACGAGATTTCATCCCTCGCCTTCGGCTAGGGACAATTTTTCTCACGGAAGAAATACTATATTTTATTCTCTTGATACGAAATATACTATTTTTTTCAGAAAAAGAAATAAGTCTCTTTACTTATGAAGAAAAAAACTAATTACTTTTTTCCTTATAAAAAGGAAAGAAAGTGTTAACTTTCGACGGGAATATAAAAAAAAATTATTCATGCGCATGCTTTCATGTATTTTGTTTTTCTCTCCTCTAATTTAGCGATATACATGAAGTTCAAAAACAACACTTTGCTAAATGTGCGCAGAGCGCATGCGTCAGAAAATCACTTGTACTTATTTTTGGATGATTGAACATAACCTAGGGAAAAATTATCACTATTCTAACCTCTAAACTATTAAAAAATGGTAATTTTTGACAACAATATGATTGAAAATGTATTTCAACCGTAAGAATAAAAGTTAAACAATACTATTTATTAAAAGTACTCGTATTTAAAAGATATTAAATAAATTGATTAAACGTATGTATGTAAATTTTGTGAATAGTATTTTGATGGATAAATTTTTATCCAAATATTTTCAATTAAAATAATTACTATCCATAATTGTTCAAAGAAAACAACACAAATCTGTGATGATAAAATCCCCACAAGCCATTTCAATTATTGAAATTTCTAGTGAAAGAAAAAACAATCCACTTTATATTTTTTTTTCATCTACAAGACTCAACAAAAAAGTCAATTTCGAGCCAGAGATGAAGATGAGGACTTTTTTTTTTCAATGAACACTCACAGATTCCATAACAACAAAGAAATGAAAAGGGAAAAGCTTCGAGAAAAAGGGGAGGGAAAAATATTGATATATACATATTAAATTGGTATGATTTTTTCTCTATTCCATCGTATCACCTTTAACTAGAATAATTAAGGTTTGTTTTCTTGCTACAAAAATTTATTTATCGCAATTTTGAGTTCCCGTCATTTAATCAATATAGATATATATATTATCATTGCAATAACTTGCGTGACTTTTTGTTTTCTAACGCTTGAGTGTAAACAAGATCTCTTTAAAACGTTTTTTTTTTTCCATTTGTGTTAAAAGGAAAAATTCCATGCAATATAGGCTGATACTTGTATATATGCACTTGCATCATTTTACGTCTCATATATAATACAATTAGATCGTTCGAAAAGTAATGTTCATTTTTCCGGAATGATACGACCTAAGTGAAAAAGTATTAGATGTATCTTTTTAAGTTTACACCATTTGATAGTCGACATTCCAAATAATCTTTAATTATATTGTAGTAATTTTATTGATAATAATTAATAAAATCACTTTTAAATTGATGAAAAAAAACGACATAACTTATCGAACAATCCAATATTTGCTCAATGTGTATTACTTCCTTTAATTGTAATGTTTTACGCCTATTTGATGCAATGGCTATAATGTATTATAATGTCTAAACGAACACATATTATACCTCGATAACAATAACTGCTGTCTCGTTCATTTATTTCTCTCTATTTAATCCCATTTGCCAGCCCCTATGGGCTCAATCCCCACTTTAGTTTTTGCCTCACATAACCCACCTTTTGTACTCGCAGCAGTCACCCCCTACAGTTGTCTCCTCCCGCCACCCGCAGCTCGAAAAAAGCCTCATCTCATGTCTACCTATCCTCTAGTCGGTGTTTTTGGGTGTATTTGAGTGTATGTAACTGACTTTTTTTTATTTCTCTTCATCATCAATAAGTATTTATTCATCATTATAATAACTGTCTTATACTTGTATGTATACATATTTAAGTATATAATTATATTATTATATCGTTACCCTAGTAGAAATCAAATTAAGGCAGTGATAAGACTCCAGCCAGTTTTGACTCGTATTAATAATCACATTATAACGTAAAATATTTAAGACTAAGTATACAACATAATTTTACAGATAAAATATAAAATAATATTCGGATAGGACATTTGCTTTACTAGATATTATGTATGATATTTCAATGAAATTAATATCTAAATTATTAAGTTTTGTTTAATTAGTTTTAATTTACAAAGTTTATTACATACCTGACATGTTGTGATAGTTTTAATTATGATACATAGACAATAAAAGGCATTCAAACAGCTTAAAAGCTAGTACCTGATCAATGCCTCAATTTGTTTTGACCAAAATCTTGTTGTAATTTCTAGTCAGTACCTTAATTTATTCTGAAATACCTACTATTTCTACCAGGGTATATCAATATCTTTACATTTTCAAAATTTATTTAGTTCATTTCATCATCTCTTCACTAACATTATTGTATCTTTAATTATTATTGCTATTATTCATTTTATTAGCAATTTTCAAATCAGTTTCCTATCTCCTGTTATTATTATTACTGTCCTTTTTTTTCTATTATTCAAGCTGAATCATCAATGTTTCATTCGTCAACTCCCTTTTCGTTATATCTGTGACTTTTTTTTTTGTTTAACTTCTATTCAATGCAATTCTTTTTCTATACCTCTCAATCTCTCTCCTCTTTCATATTCGCTTCATTTTTAAATTTACTCCTTCGAGCTCTAGCTCTCAACAAATCCAGTCACCCATCGATTATTGTTCGATACTTCACGTATGAAATTCCACGGTTATGGTGGGTAGAGGACACTGAAGGGGTTTTTTTTAATCTCCTGATATGAGGGGCGAGTGACCCTCGCTATATATTTGGGGATTTCAAATGTGTGTATGTGCACATGGGTACAATTTGGTGGAGATGTGTGTAATAGTGTGTAAGAGAGAGTGGTTTGTTGGCCGACGTTCATCGTCGTCGACGTGATAATAACGTGACTTTGGCCTGACCCTGTCATCGGTATTCGAAGCTAAAGGGATACACTATAGATACCCTGCTTCACACTATTTATTTATGTTTTTTTTTATTAATTTTTAAGTATCCATATTTAATTATTTAATTATAGATCATTTAATAATGAATTATTTTCCAGTAGTAGTTAGCGGAATGATCCGCATGAAAAGCATTAAGAAGGTCCCTTCCATTTCCAGGGACTGAACCAAAATCGCCTGCGTCTTCGTCGCGATTTCATTCCTCTTCTTTTTCGTACGTTTTTTCTCGAACGACAGTTGCGCAGCCTGGCCCGCGGGAAACAGCGCTTATCGCTCGTGTCACGTATTGTACTTTGTTTTGTCCTTGTTTTTAAACGATACCACTTTAATAAACGACCAATTCGCGAGATAAACCACGCAAGCCAACACCAATGATACCAACTGTAATTTAACAAGAGAAAGAAAAGCCACCGTAACACATGTGTTGCCCTCTGTTTAAATAATACCGGAAATGATGATGATAATTGCAACGTCAGTACTCTCGTTTGAGGTTTCCTGATTATTTTTGATATCTTCTGTTCAAGTGCGAGGTTCATTTGCACTGATGGACTCCAGGGAAAAATAGTCTGGCCAGTGCTGAGTGAAATGAGGGCGACCCACATCGAGAGAAGACAAAGCAATGACATAAGAGCCGATGCAGTGGATGTTTTGCTTGACGACGAGGACATGGAGCCGACCCCGCCGCTTCCACAAAATGAGGAGGCACTCGTGGTCGACGGTGGCGCCGGCGAAGACATTTCCGCGCTACCATCTTGGGCGTTTTCTTGACCTAAACCCAACAATCAAACGAAATCATTTATTTTTACATCTTACCTATTATCTTTCACCACTTCCGATCTTATTTCCGTTTATACTCTAGCCAAAATACCTGTAGAACCAGATTGAATCGGGGCCGTGATCTCACAGTGCGGTGCAGTTGGAAGATCTCCACCGAATCGACGCCCGCGAGGCTCTCGATCTGTACAATTGGCGCAGACACCCAATCCTGGCTCATCTTCGGAACAAACGCGGAAGCAGCATTCTTCTTCTTCGTTTCCGTGCAAAGCTCTCATCGCCTGCTCACCCGTTTCCGGTATGTTCGGGTCTGTAATTTGGAAATATTCTTTCAAAATCGAATTGTTTAAAAAGGTACATGGACGAAACTTATCGTTGAATTTTCATCAGAGAAACTGATGTGTCTGAAACAATATGACTTGTATTTAAAATTGGGAAACTACTCATTCTTATCAAAAACTGATCGCAAATAATTTATGACTTCATAATAAGTAAAATCCATTTGACTAAACCTGAACAGAACCTGCTTCAATTCTATCAAGGTTTGAGTCAGGTTAAACATTTACCAATAACCCGTAAATACCAATAGGTCAAGCTTGAAATGATATCCTGAGGCCCAGCTTAGTTAATTAGTTTACGGTATCGGAAGCATGTCAGTTAGAACAAGGAAAAGATTAAATTTATTTTTTGCCATACCTTTACTCAGAGTTACAATCGTATCGAGAAAAAAATATATACATATAATTTTAAACTCCATTTAAGTATGCTGTACAGTCCCTGAAAACTATCTACTGTATTGCTACCTACTGTACACTACCTACCTCTTGTTTAGCATCCTCCACAACTATGACACAATAGTCATACAACTTTCGACTTGTTTTTAGGTCACAAAGCGACGTGTTCTATCTCGTATAAAAAGATACAAAATCGTCTGTGTGCATGCTCAGCTGAGTGCTATTTTTGCGAGGGAAAAAAGTGACTATTTTAACATTAAAATAGAGAACAAACTTTCATTTTAGATTACTAGCATCTTGGTTGCGTGCACTTCGCACGCGCGTTGCTATTACTTATGTGAACATTTTAAAATTATATTTCAAACAATTATCTACTCTTCCATTTACCATAAAATATTATTATAGCATACCATAGTACATACATCATCATAATATTGTTCTGTTTAAGGATCACCCCAGGCCACCCCAACCGTGTTAAACTCCTACCTGGCTCCATAACAACCCATACTAAATTTTTGGAACACATCGGCTCATTTGAAATAAACTTCTATTTATATCTCTCTTCTCTGACGATGACATGACAAAAAAATGAACAAAGTGAAACATTCACCTGGATGTTTGCTACCCTCATCTGAACAATGTAGGATAAATATGCACTATAAAAGTATAGAATGGATTAAATTTATTTTAAGTTACTTTCAAATACAAGGTCATACTCCAACCTATCTGGGCCTATGGAATCCAACTTTGGGGCTCTTGTGTTAAAAGCACCATTGACATCATACCGAGGTTCCAATCTAAGACTTTAAGAATCTTAGCCTATGCACCTTGGTATATCTCGAATAGCACGCTCCATAATGACCTGAACATCAAAACAATAGTAAAAATCATCCAAGTTCATAGTAGTAGATATATTACCCGTCTACATAACTACCAAAACCAACTGGCACTCAATACACTGGACCGCACCCAGGAAGTTAGACGACTAAAAAAGAAGACTAACCCTCTGGATCTTCCAAAAGGATTCACCTAAACCACGAAGTGACGATCTTTGAAAAATCCTTCGAACAAGTCAAACTCACCATTATCACAATTATTCATTGTCGTTTCATGACAGATTGGAGTTTATAAATAAATAAAAAAAAAAGTTACTTTCAAGGCTAAAATATCCACCCTCGATGTAATGAAAATTGGAAAACTCCTAAGGTTAAAAAATCCTAAGACCCAATAGTCTCTGAATCTCAGAATTGGAGTAAGTTCCAGTGGTAAGAACTCAAAGCAGAGTTAACTGACTAAGGCTTAATTTTTGGCGGCAGGTTGTAGTTTAGTTCATTGCTTAACGTTGGCGTCACTAACTTGGGTTACAGAAGAATGAGTACTACCTCCAATTTATTCATATTTGTTTCAACAGACAAGCTGTCTTAAGTAGAGAAAATTATCAGTTATCAAATTGATCAAAGAAAGAAAATATCGGTTAAAAGACTTCAAAGTTATTACTTAATCATTCTATCGATTGGAAGGGAAAGCAGAAGCACTCAAAAACGTCTATGCACAGGTAATCCCTTATTAGCTGATTATGAAAACGTTGCTGAATATGAAATAGCAGTCATGTAACGATATCCCAACCTAGCCTATACTTATAAAAATGTTTACTCATTCTTCTAATAATTTCGATTTCTCCCCATCCTATCCTCAGACATCCTTAAATAGCTTGATTAAATAAACGAGTTTGGATTTCTAGACCTTCACATTTTATTCCTATTATAAGGTGAAAAATAATTTTGTGATCACAGAAAAATTTTATAAGAATTTTTACTAGTCAATTTAGAGTAAAATTTACTAGCCAAAAATATTAAAAAATAACTAGATTTTTTTAGTAAAATATATCCAGTGAAAATACTTATATCCTTATAGTGACATTAAATGTTAAATGGAAAATAAATTACTGAATTTATAAATCGATGTCAGACTAAACTTAAACTATTCTACTGCAAAAAATTCTCTTATTCGAAGTACATTAAGTACTAAAAATGCCTGTTATGTAGCAATAAAATATTTTAATTTTCTTCCTAATAATTTGAAGCTGATCAATTGCTCAAAAAAATTACTTCGTAAAAAGATAGGTTTATGGATAAAATCCACACCAACTCTAGTTATCTAGATATTTAAGTCAATCTAATTTTTTGTAAGCACAAATTTTATAGCGCTTGATACTTTGTACACCTAATCCTATTTTTTATTTTCTTTTGTAATAATTTTGTGTAACTTTCTGTATTCCTTCTGGTTTTTAGGCACAGGTGTAACCCACCTCTATAGAATAGAAGTATCAGTGATGACTTTTTTTAAATTTATTCTGAATTCATTTAAATAATAATCATCCTTGTATTATAAATAAACTTGAAAAATATTCGAAATGGATAAAAAATGACGCATCTTGGAATTAGAAATGCTTTCAAAAATTTAGTTATATAATTTATACATAAATTTTGCATTCTATCATAATCGTGGTTTGTTTGCAGAATAAAGCTCATTGTATATTGAATAAAAAAGGAACTACGTTTATTATTTTGTTAAAAGTTACATAGCATACCTTATGCATGGAAAACAAAATGCTTTTAAATGACAGTGCTATTGATTACAATTTAATTTGTAGTTTTCATCTCCTAGTTGCCTTTCATTTTTACCCAATTAATCTGTTTTCGGAACAAAAACTTTAAAAATAGATAAAAAAAATATTCGGCAATCTAAAAGGGTAATACAAATCAAGTAATTATCTGAAATAATTCATTATCCATTACATTTAAATGTAACATTATGGGTAGAGATATACGTTTAGAGATATTTTTTACTTGAAATAAATTCATCTTTTAATTTAGTTTATTTTTTTAACAGAGAAAAATACAGGACAATTAAATTCGTAGACCAACTGATAATAAATTTTAAATTCATTCGCAACAAGAGATATTCATGCTTTCACGTCTAAAAATTACAGTTGTCACATTGCCTACATGGTCACAGTAAAAAATTTCTCTCAGAATTTTTTAAAAAATAGACAAAAAAATTTCAAAAACAAAAATATCTGTATTTTAGAGGTAATAATAATGAAAATCGTTTTCTACTTCGAGCTTTTTAATATATATATTTTACAAACTGTAGACAAGCAATGGTAATTAAAGTACTCAAGTCAAAAAACTGACAAAAAAATTATCACAGAGATGAAAGAAAAGTAGGCCATTTAAAACAAAACAGTATTTTCATATAACAAAGTTTATAACTAACAATAAGATAATTAAAACAACACACTCGGTATTGCACTAGTCTCCTTGTTTGTAAATTTAATGTGCAATTTTACTAATTAACTATTTTCCAAAATATATTCAAAAATTATCATACTAAAAATTTCAGTAGTACAGCAGAAAAAATTTTGAAAATATGCCAAACAAAAAAAGGGTGCCAAAGGAAAATTTACCCTTCTTATTATAACAACATGCACAAAACAAATATCAATAAATAAGTCAATAATTACCTCTGCAAAGAAAAGTGGGCTCGCCCGCGTACTGCGTAGGATAAGCAGGTGCACGGTCACCCGGAAGTAGATAAGGGCAACGTTGTTCCACGGATTGACAAAAGGACCGGCATGGCCGTAACCTCGTATCCACCCAACCGTCCGAGGTTTTGGAGTCTGACGGTCCTTCATGAGCAAAGTAAGGCACCAGGGAGCTGCACACCCATTTTCTATACGCCTCCTGTAATCAAATCAAAAATACCTATTTATTATCAATTGCAAAAATGATCTTTAACTTAATTGTCTTTTATTTATGTATATTTTTTCGGATCTACATTGTAAATTCAAGGTGTGTTACAGTAAACTTATCTACACATGTTCAATGTTAACAAACTATAGATTTTAACACGCCTTGAAGTGTGTTAGAAATGACTACACAGTTCTATATTTTGTGTATAGCAATTAAACATTGAACACGCCCAAAATGTGTCAAAATAGCACACTTTTAATTTACAGTGTAATTACGTTTCTCCAGTCATAAAAATAAATACTATCTATATAAATAAAATTAGAGTGTCTGTGATATCGAGACACATTCAACTAAGCTTATAAGTCTATAGAGAATTATTCGCACGCTAGGGAAACATAAAGAACCATTTTTAGAATTTTCGTCTCCCCGCCTGTGTATCCGGGGTAATCTTTGAAAAGGCTGACCGATTTCGATAAAACTTTACATGCATAAAAAGAAAGCTATTAGAAATGGCATAGAGTACTTTTTAACTAATTGTTGTTTGTAACAGTTAAATTGCTTTTACAAACTCGAAAAGGGAAATAGATCCGAAATCAGATCAATATTTCCAGAAATAAATAATAAATGATCATAGATCAGTTTTTGTAATTAAATCGTTAAAAAAACAATAAAAAAATAAATTGTCACCGAGAAGATAAAAGGGAGTATTTATGTATATAAAGTCTAAGTGTTTGTCTGAGTTTTCATGGTTATTGTCTTCTGTTGAGCTTCAAGTGTATTGAGTGGGTAGAGAAATCGAGTTCTCGATATGTACCTTTGCAACGTGATTTTTTAGGACAAAAAAATGTAATTAAAGTTGTACGATGACTACACTGCAAATCCAAGTGCATTCTTGTTACACATCTAAACATGTTTAATATGATGTCACCCATTTGATTAACATTGAAGTCCCTTTTTACACACTTAGAAACGCATTAAAACCCATTTGATAATCTTGTAGTCACTTTTAAGTAAAAACACGACAAAATACATTTTTGAAATGCCTGAATTGTTGTTAAAAAATCTGATTTTTGATCAACATTTACATTACGATATAAAATGATGAATCGTAAAATAATGTCATAAGAAACATTAGACATCATCTACATTAGATATGTATTATTTTTAGAAAATCACAAGTGAAATGTTACGTCAACATTCTTCGTGAATAAAGCACTACTTGTAATTGTTGTAATTAGGTTTCATAATTAGTCATGCCAAAAATTTTTAAAAAACTATCACGAAATGGATATAACATGTTAACCATTAGCGCAGCACTATAAAAACATAACAAAATATCAACATCCTTATGATTAGCTTATCGTACCGGTGAGTACAGTTCAACCGAATGGGTATTAGCCGAACAATTATGTTGTAAAAATTATTTTATCGAAACATTTAATTCATCGGAAATACCTAATAGTGGAAGTACAAATATAAGAGAATATTTTACTTCGATAGAACATTATATTAAAGTTTCTGAAAACAATGTACGTTTGACTCTAAGTAAAGAATTAAAAATAGGGGTAAGCACGGACGTTGGGTAATCGCAGAACTCATGTTTGGCTATGTTAGAAGGGTTGGAAACATATTCTCAGTGATGCTGACAAACAGTAGTAAAGTGACCACGCGCTCGATGTACAAAATATATAAACTTTAAATAATAAACAATATTCATAACTTTAACTACTTTTGTTTTATTTCAGTTCTTCATTAGGGGTTCGCAATTACCCCACTCTCCTCTACACGTTTCATAGAAAATCATTTATAGTTTTATAAAATTTTAACAGAATATTTATAATTATAATTATCGATATAATTGGTTTTCAAAAAAGAATACTCGGATTTTAATCATTTCAGGATTTCCTGTAATTTCCTAAATGATGCCGTGTCTTAAAAATAGTATTTTAAGAACAGATAATCGGATTCTCGGATTGTGTTTTATAGAGAATATTCCAAATCATATTCCACAATTAAAAAAAAAAAACAAGAAAATAAGGAAAAAGAAAAAATAAACATTGCATCGGCCGGGAATCGAACCCGGGCCGCCCGCGTGGCAGGCGAGCATTCTACCACTGAACCACCGATGCTCGCAGAAGGAATTGAAAAGATGTAAGATATAAAACGCAAATCAATAATGCGAATATCCCAGATGAATTGTATTTTAGGTTTACGATTTAATTTCTTGAATACGCCAAAAAACATGGATAAGTTTTTCACATATGCTGCACCTAATAACAAACTATCAATCCAAATTTTTCGTTCAACTCTTCAGTATTGTTATACACATAAGACTACATGTAATTGCCTGTTGGAATCCTGTTTACCACTTTCTCGCCTTTCAGCGCGTACACCGGCTGATTGCTTAACGCGCATGTGCTAATCACTAGCTTAAGTACACTGCATAAGACCTTCTATTTCTGATGGAATCACTCAGTCATAAACTGCAATAAAATAATTTGTGCAATCCAAAACTCATCACCATCCCTAAATGCGAACGTTTGTTACCGGGTTTTGAATATATTTTTTTTACTTTTTAGCCTTAGACACCGGCGTAAAAAGCTAATGTACCTGTAGTATAAGCTTATATAAGTACTAGCTTATTCCCATGACTTCCTTCCGCGTAGATGCTAATTGACTGATATTTAGCTATAAACTAGAAGAATTAATGCACGAAAATCTGAAACCTTGTTACTTTTTCAACTAATCAAAAGAATCTCTTATTTATTGTAAATGATCAATGTGACATAATGTCGTTACATAATAATATATTAATTGAGTGAAGTTTCGAATAATCATTTCGTAGTTTGAATGGTTCAATTCCAGATACGTATTGTTTTGTGATAGAATTAAAAGAAAAATGATAAATTCATATGTATTAATAATAGAGAAAAAAAATTCGAAGTTAATTGTGAGATTTAATTTTTGTTTACTTACAATAAGTAGACCGAGAAAATTCATTGGCATTCATGCTATACGGTAAGTAACTTTTTTTCAGTTGAAGAACAAATATCCTGTTGAAAGAGCTCGAATATATTGCATAAATCCCGTTTTCAATTGTTTACAGCAAATTCAATCGTTACAAGCAATTTACATAAACAAAAAGTTGCCTATAATCTTCCCGACAACCCCCTCTAAATGTCTGCAAAGTTTCATCGAAATCGGTTCTGCCATTTCCGAGATCACTCCGGACGGACAGACAGCCAAAAATTCTAAACAATGTCATTTACGTTTTAATAACGTGCGAATCACTCTTGGAGCTTAGTTTGACGCAGTTTTCTCAAAATCACAGACAGACACTCTAATTTTATTTATATAGATAAGTCACATGTTGGTCAACACTCTATCTCTTTAAAGTGTGAGAGCGAGTTGTTCTCGATTATCGTGCACCTTGAAGGTAAAGGGCAAGCCCTCCGTACATATTCCATGTCTAGGTGAACACCTCATTAACTAATGCGACGCTCGGCTTGCTAATTAATCGAATTGATATATACCTAAGATGAGAATTGAATGAAAATTTACGTACTATGTGATTTTTAGTCTCCTTCTGTCTGTAAAAAACAGAAGACATTGACAAATATGTCTCTTTAAAGGTTATCACAATACACACCAAGCGTAGATGTAAAAATAACCCGAATAAAAATGATCAGTTTTTGGGCGCTCCTAAAGAAGACCCAATTCGAGCCCAAAAATATTTTGCAGGCCTAAAACGCGCCCAAATCAGGCCTAAAAATATTTTAAAAATCTAGAAAAGAAAAAAAAATTCTCATAAAAACCTATCTTTTAGAACCGAAAGAAAAAAACTTTCGGTGCTACAAATTTATATTTGTAATAAGTTATTGTCGAATATAATCTTAGAAAATGGGCTTGAATTGGGCGCGTTTTAGGCCTGCAAAATATTTTTGGGCTTCAATTGGGCTCCTTCAAAATTTAGGCCTGTAATGGGCTTGTTTTGGGCACTAAAAATTTCTCTAAGTCAAGATTGGGCTTCAATCGGGCCTTTATTGAGCTTATTTTTCATTTTCGGCGTGTTTTGGGCTTTTTTGTGGGTCTATTTATTTTTACTCGGGAAACTTTCTCTACGACCATTATAAAATAGTACATTTTACTTACGGGTAAGATTGTCAAGTTGGTAAACATGTAATTACTGCACGGATTTGTGTTTAGTAAGTGAGCGAGTTTGGTGATCACATAAAACACTTACCAACCTTGAACCCTTGCAAAAAGCAATATTTATAATACAGGCACGATACATTATATTGTGTAAAACTAAGGCCGTGAGCACTCGGCTGTTTACGAAGACGGCCAAACACTCTTCGATAATTAAGAATCACAGCTCTTTCACCTCCTCTTATCTTATTTTCAGTCTTCCACCACTTGTACAGGCCTACTTTTTTTGGAAATAAGCAACCTGGTGAGATCGAGAGTTAAATCCTCCTCGTTACTCCTCTAAATTAAGCTATTCCACACTTGTGTCTAATTTCTTACTTTTCATACCTGCACTCATCGTGGCTTTTCGCGATCTGCCGTTCCTCTTACCTCCTAAATTTAAGTAACATTGACAATTTAAGTTGTTTCCATTAAATTTAAGGATGACAAAGTTGAACTATCCAATAACCATGGACTTCTGTATACTTATGGTCATCTCTAAATATTTATTATAGTTTTATTAATACTTATATGAATAAATTAATGTTTGAGAAAATAGTTATAAGCTACGAAGAAATACAACGAATAACGATAAAATTCTTCACTGCTTTAAAGCTTGAAGAAAAGTCACTCGTGAGTCAATTTATTCGAGCTGAGGAGCAAAACCAGCCCCAGGCTACGTAGCTTTGCCCAGCTTGATCTGCTTCGAGGTCGGGCATGCTCGGGTCACCAATGAGATGGGTCAATGCCTGACCTACATACTTAAAAATGCACTTTTTAAAGCCAACTAGCCAAGTAATGAT